TGAGCAAGAAGGGTGGGCCGTGCCACCCTGTAACCTAGCAGTTGGGGGCATGAGGCCTGGTAGAGATTGGGCATCGGGATATAGGGGTGAGGCAGGTAGGGTTGGGCTGCCGAAAGGCCCTAAAGCAGGTGGTTCTTTCGTTCTGAATGCTCCTWTGATCCGAGCTTTGGAGGATAGAGAATTTTAGTGTTCTTGTGCACGGTTGCTTTTCTTAGCCGAAGCGGGGTAATGGGCCCGGTACCTCAAGGATTTCCCCATAAATTTCTCAATTTCTCAATATGATATTAAATGGGACGCTGGGCCCGGTTCCCAGCACGTGCTGCTCCCCACAAATAGATTGGAGCATGTTCCATTTAAAAAATAATAGTAATAATAAAAAAATAAAAAATAAAAAAGGAAGAGATGCTTCAATGAGTCCGGACATATTGAATGCTCAGGTACCCATCCTATTGTACTCCCAAGTGAGCCCCATCCTCAGCTCCCGGCGGCTCAGCCGCTTGAGTATCTTGGTGACGTCAACAACAACTTCCTGGTCTGTTTTGTGGTCTTCCTCGACCACCTACTGGGCTGGCTTGCCCACCTTCAGCTTCCCTCCTTGGCACGGCCAGAAATTGAAGGCAAGGGCCGTCCAGAAGTCAGAGATGTCCGCAGCAATAGCTTCTTTCCAAGTAACGTACGGAATACCCTGTTTATTACACAAAACTTGTAGCTTGGGTGGTGATGGATGGAGGGTGATATCATTCAGCCCATATGCTGACAACATCGAGCCTTTCGGAGAGGTTTGTTCCCGGAGTTTGGGCTTCCCTAGCCATCTTTGAGACTACTTTCTTGAACCGCTCCTTCAATGCCTGCACCTCCAGGTCTCTGATCCTCTTTTTTTTTTTTTTTTTTTTTTTTTTTTTTTTGTGTGTGTGTGTGTGTGTGTGTGTGTGTGTGATCCTCTTTTCTTCTTTAACCTGTTATGTGCGTGATTGAAACGAGATCCAACATGGCATCCACACGTTCCCATACACGTGTGCAATGACAAGTGACCTTTGGAGGGAGCAATCCACACCACACCGGATGATAAGAGTACACAGTGGAAGCACACAAATACCGAAAATAGAATTGAAATGAAAATCAATTCTAATTACCGTCTCTCCCCAAGTCAATCAACAGCACAAATTTCCAAGGATCCCAACCACGCTATCAACACCCATGGACCAATTATTTACAAGGTTTCATCGAAGTATCCGGGAGTCTTCTTCTTCCTCCCTCTTCCTCAAGCTCTAGCTATGGTTCTTGCAAGCACCCAACCTATCAAGCTTGCCAATCGCCACACACCCTCCTAAATCCAACACCCCTCTCTGCACCACTCAAGCAGCCCACTGCAGATGAAGTGTCCACTGAGCAGGGAAGTGCAGATCCCAGGATGATGAAGAAGAACAGCAAGTGGATGAAGATGAAGATCTGCCACATTAAAGAAGAACCACTGAAAGTGCAGCTTCGGTGGCAGCTGACTAACTCCCAACAAGCACACAAATATGAGGAAGTGCTCATCAGCACTTGGGTGCCGAGCCCAGCGCTGTCACCAATGGAGCTGGCCGGCCCCAGCTATGGCCGCCAGCAGCATGTGGAGAAGATGCCCTGCACACATGCCCACGCAGCAGGGAAACAACGCGACCTCCACCAAGACTGTGAAAAGAAAAGCAACGAAAAGAACCCCAAATTCCTCGGCCTCTGCCTACTTCTACCCGACTTCCCTAGACCTACAACGCAGCAGCCACCTACAGACCTATCTTACTGTCCAAAAACAGCAAACATCTACGGCCAAACAGTCAAGATCTACCTACATGCAGCTAGTTGGAAACCTGGACTAAGGGGAACCCAAGGCTAGGACACACAAAAGAAAGACCTAGGGGCCTACCAGTTTTCAGAAGGGCAGAAAAGGACAAAACAAAAAGGCTGAAAAGCCTAAGACTACGAAGTGGAGACTACTAGCGACAGGTTCAAGGTTCGAGCCCAATAAGGCTCAAAAACAGTCAAACACCACAAACGCACTACAGGTCATGGGATCAAGTCCCGGTACGACTTCAGCAACTGCAGAAACCGACAAAACAGCAAAACCTAAGGGTCTAAGACTGCCAATTAGAGACTAATAGCTACAGGTCTAAGGATCAAGCCCAGTAGGGCTCGACGCTTTTTTTTTTTTTTTTTTTTTTTTTTTTTCCCCCTCAAATCAGGTATTACTGAAACATGGTTCAAAAACATGAAGTATGGAAAGTATGAAAAAAAGAAAGGAGTGCTGCCTCTTCAGCCAGAGCCTGGCCGCCAGATGCCCGTGGTATCCTAGCATCATTACCTCCTATAGCCCACTCTGGAATAATCCGAAATACTCATGCTGATATCTTGTTGGAGACTATGACCAATCTCTCCAGACTCCCTTTCTTTTCTTCAGATTTCCCTGTCACCCTGAAAACCGCCCTTCCTATTATACCATACGAGTACCATTATTCTCCTTTTTCGCATCCAAACCAACTTATGGGGACCAGGGATAATGATGAGGGGGGGAAGGGATCTGGGAACTCTGATAGGGGCGAAGTGGTACTGTTGGATCCACATTTGTCCAATCATGGAATATCAGTCTGTAGTCTTTTTGAATTCCTTTGTTATGCTCTTCTCTGTTCTCTCTCCTCACCCCACTTTCTTGGATCTTTCCAATCGTACCTCCTTGAGATCCTCCAAGCCAAGCGCCACTGAATGATTTGATGTGTTGTTGGATTTCTTTTTTATTCGTCAGAAATTGAATTTTTTCTTTTACTTTGTTCCATTGAGCTGTGATAACAGTTTGGACCTGCAGTTTAATTGACTCCGTAAAATCTGGACCATCCAGCCTGGCACCCTCCCTTTCAAAAGTACAGCGCCTTTGAGTAGGGCTCGACGCTAACAAACCAAACGTACAAATTACAGGTCACAGGATCAAGTCCCGCAAGGCCCAAACCAAGGAAACAGCAAACACAGTTAGTGTACAGTCCCACTGGGATACTGCGATTTATTGCAAACTGACATGTAGGCACGCAATAGCTTACCGAAGTCTAGCTCCAATGGCGTAGTTGGAGCATCACCCCTCGCCTTGTCCCCCTGGCTGGTGCTTTCCAGATTGACTGCTAATGCAGACACCTGCTGCTATGCCCTTCACACACACACTAGCGTCCTCACCCGAATAGAACACCCGGCCTTTATAGCTGTATTTAGGGCAGTATTCAGTCTAGATACAATGATAATGGCCCAGCGTTCTATTCGGGTCAAGAAAACATTGTCCATATTCCTCCTTAGGTCCTCACTTTCCTTTTGCTGCTGGTCAATCTGTCAGTTCAATCTACCCTTACCCGCCATCTCCTTCTGATGCTTTTTCAATTCCTTGCACTCTTTCCGCAGCCTTGTGACTTCACACTTTTTTTTTTTTTTTTTTTTTTTGGGCTTCACCCTGACCAGACGAGGGGTTGGCCCCTCTTCCCCCCCAGCCACCCCAATGTTGTAGTGCCGAGTTTTTTTCTGTCTTTCTTGGTGGCTTTGAAAAGGCAACAAAGTGTAAGCCCCCAACACATTCCTTTTCAAATGCCACTGGCCCAACTAGACCAATTTCATTCAACTTGCCTTTTCTTTTCTTTTCTTTTCTTTTCTTTTTCTCTTTTTTTTTCCTTTTTTTTGTTGTAAAACAGGTCATTGTTGTCCTGGCTCCATATCCGTTCTGGGGAGCATCAGTCCGGTTCGTCTTCTTCTTTTTTTTTTTTTTTAAGGCTAATTCTTTAAGCCCAACCAATTCAATTACGTGTCGGATCTGGACAGGACGGCCTTCCAGAGGGCCATTTTTATTGTCACTATAGTATTACGGGAAACCCCGTAGCAGCCGCATCTGTGCTCAAGCCTCCAACGAGGGAACATATGCGGGAGCTGCACCCACCAGCAGGTGGGCAATACCGGCCAGGGGTCAGCCGGTAGCATCAGGACCGAGCTTCTTCGATGGGCCAGTCACTGTGCCTCCCCTCCGGTCCCCTCGCCCTATGAACATCAGCAGTCTCTGCTCAATGCCACTCGGGGGGACCAACGGGATATCTCTAGGTGGCGGGCGCCAAGCTTGCCCAGGAAGGTACATGAGGCCAATGGGGATTGAACCCAAGACCTCCTGAATTGGACTGCTTGCGTGCCTTACCAACTGAGGTAGGCCGTATGACCAGTCCGGTTCCTATTCCCCCAGCAAGTCAAAATTGAATACATTGTCTCACGCTTCCTTCCGTGTGGCCGAAGGAACACTTGCCTTTTCTTTTCTTTCCTTTCCTTGTCTTTTTTTTTTCCCTTTTCTTTTCCTTTCCTTTCTTTTTTTGCTGATCTTGGAGAGTCAGCATTTGCATTCAGGGAAACGACAATTTCTGTTTCATAACACAACCTGCAATCAACGGTGCATGTGGGCAGCCACAGTTTTTTCTGTGGTAGTCTAGCTGTCAAAACAGCGCAATGGCCTCAGACCCCTACCAGACTGGCCAGCGGTACTTGTTCAAAGCGGGAAAGTTGTTGGGGTCAGTGGTGTTTTAAATACAACGGTTACAACCGTTTTAAGGGATAATGGCTTTTCATTTGTCCCATGGGGCTACATGCATTTTACACCCTTCAATTTCTTCAAATGATTTCACATGGTCAAGCTAAATTCAAGATCAACAGGTCCTTGATTCCCCACCCACTTGTCCAAACCAGTAGCTTTGGATAGGGATTTGACATGATGGCAGGTAGGACCAGGTCAAGGAGTGGAATTAAGAATGTTCGGCCTATCTGTTTGTCTGTCTGTGTCTGTCTGTCTGTCTGCCTGTGTCTGCCGGTCAGTCTGTCTATCTCTCTGTGTCTGTCTGTCTGTCTGTCTGTCTGGTCTGTCTGTCTGTCTCTCTGCATCTCTCTCTCTCTCTCTCTCTCTCTCTCTCTCTCTCTCTCTCTCTCTCTCTCTCTCTCTCTC